AATCGAATCACCGGACTGATCATGCTCCTGTGCTAAAATGGTGAAAATTATTCAACAGAGCGTGCCCTTCAAAGGCATTCCTTTCAGCAGCCATCGATACCAGCTACATAGTATAATATAATTACACTTAATCGCGCCGATCCTACCAGCCATTATCGGCTGCACTCTCGATAGGGAATATTTCGTAGGAAGGATTCGATTAATTATCCAGCGATCAGGAGGCCACGTCGAAGCTGTCCTCGGCACAGAGGCGCGCCACGGTGCTCGCAGCCACCGATTCGACGTAACTATTTAATAACATAGTGGCTCGGTACCGGCACCACCTGGCGGCCAGGTATGCCACGTCAAAGTCTTTATTAGACCCAATTGAACATTATTACTTCTCAGGCGGCGTAACAGAGATAGAGGAGCGCGGCGAAGAGTCGCAGGGAGGAGACGAAAGAACCATTTTGGTTCACCATGGTCACGCGGTCAGGTATCGAGACAGGTGAGGAAAGCTGCGCTTCTAGATACGCTCTCCTTAATGGCAGAGGATCCTAGTGGGATCCGTGTGTATGTATGTACGTCGATCCATACACGCGTTAACTGTGCAGCCATCGAAAAGGTTACAGGGTCCGCGAGCAGAGCGGATTAACGGCGTTAAATGGAATTATTGGGTAGCGGCTCGATCAACCCCTCAGCGATATTTATTAGCCGACTAAAGCGCGATTATTCCTGACCGACTACGAGCTTACCTCGTCCGCGTTAACCAGATACCGTTCAATTAAGCCCCTGGCCGCCAGTAACGCTCGTTTCTTTTTTCTTCTTTTTGTTCTGTAACCTTCGGTGGAAATATCGCAGCGACTCTTGGCGCTTCTCCAACTACGGGACACGGAATCGAAACAATATTGCCTCTGAAGAAGGGAAGCCAATGCGAGAAAAACATAGCTACATTCATGAATTAATTGTTTTCTTTTTGAAAAACAATTAACCGAATAGAAGATCTGTATGTTGAGTAATTCTTATTTATATTTTTTAAATATTGGGCTGTCTGGAAAGTCCATGACGATTTTTAGTAGGCGGCACAGGTCGGAATGTGTCGGAATGGCTGAAAACAAATAACGTGTATACATTCCTTAAAAGGTGGAAAAGTTTTGTAGGACAAAATGGTACATATATAATTCAATAAATATACATCAAAATTCAAATATCCCTTTGAATTTCTCTTAAAAATAGGCACGAACTTTCCGGACAATCCAATAAAATAGCGATGCTGGAGCCGTGTATGCAGTGTGCAATCGCTACATCCATTATCGTGCGCTATTCATCGACCACGTAATAAGATACAACGCCAAATAGAAACTCTAACGCCCAATTTTCTGTGAAATTCAATGTACGAGTCCAGTATCGATTTTTACAAAGCGTCTCCGTTGGAATCGATAATAAAGGAAGCTTCGAAACTCGCTACGTTCATCGAGCCGCGAAGGGTCGACTTAAGGCCACGTGGTGGTAGCAGGAGGGGTGCAGCAGGACGAAGGGCATGAAAAAGAGAGGGAGATCTCGTGGATGACGATGGGGATCTCTTTTGTGGAAAGAAAAAAAGAAAAAAAGAAGGGAAAAGGGAAAAGGAAAAAGGGAAAGGGAAAAACGACGGAGGAGCATCGCGGAAAAGAAACGAACTCGCCAAAAACTGGTTTCGGCGGGGGACTTGAGGACGATGCGACGCGGCGCGGAGAACATAAATCCGCGCTTTGTTGAGATCGAGTCGAGATTAATCGGGGCCCAAGTCGAGCTGACTGCACGAGAGCAGATAATGTCGCTGGGTCCTACATTATATTGAATTATATCGGCTGGACTCCGCTGGATGTAAGTGTGCGCGTACACGAACTGCTCTGTCGTTTTGTTTCCATCGTCAGGAGCCGCGAGAAAGCTTTGTCGGCTGGACGAAATCGTCCCCTCGAAGGAGATTGCCCGACATCTTCATTTTTCTATCTTTCCTCCTCTCGAGCATCGCGTCGTTGGAAGATTAGACGCGGTACCGTCGAATTTCTCTCGCGAGACAGTTCAGTTCGGAGCATCTGTCCTTGTCAAAAACATTGGAGATGTATGTACTTATTTCGAAAACGGAGCATTTGACCCTTTCAGACCTAGCGTACATTGTAGTCTACGTTAACTTTCAAATTTAAAATAGAAAAAAAATGATTAATAGGTTCAAAGACGTAACATCGATAACGATAACGAAGAGACTAATCAAGATAGCAGAACCAGCTATGAGACACCTCGGAAAATGTGTTACAGGAAAATTCAGAAACGACAACAGAATCATATAAAAGGAAGACCGTTTGGAGCAGTTATCATTTAGAGTTCATTATAAATCGAGTTCATTCCAAGTCTACGTCAACAAGTATAGCAGGTCAATATATGTATAATCGTCAGCGACGATCATAATATATTGTGTTAATTTGCACTGTTGCAGTTACTTGAGTTCGTTCATAACAAATATCTTTTTTAAAAAACGAATTCGAGATCGATATTCGTAACAAAGTACGATTCATAGAAATCCTCTGCGAAAGATCTAGCCACTTCAAATTCAATAATATGTACACTTCTACATTAATCAGATTGGGAACGGTCTGTATCACCTTGGAACATGATTCCCTTTCTCGTTTTCACTTTTCGTGACTCGCCGCTCCGGGATGATTTTCGAAACGTGTATCAAGACTGAAAGTTACAAAGACGTCTGAAATGGGACAGCGCGCTGTAGCCGCGGGGCGAGACAGAAATGATTTTTTGAAGCAACGCAACGTCGAATTACGAGCAAATCCGTAATGGGCCGTGGGATCGACTCGATGAATCCTCGTTGTTCGACGTCGTTGTGCGCTCCGCGTTCCAGCGTCCGTGCTCAATCGGTAATTGCGGCAAAGACGAATGACGCTACCGCGGTTCTCTGGGCCCTCATCACCACGCTCGCTGGTCCGCGACGATATTTCGAGAGGTCGATGCGACGCGACGTGCCTGACCATTCCCTTTTTCCTCCCACGAATCGTTAATGACGACTTTCATACGTCACGAACGAGTACGCGACCTATATACTTCTTAAAATCAATCAGCTATTAATAGTAGTTTTACTGCAATTTTAGGGGGACAGCTTATTGTATGTATCGTAATAGAGAGTTACTTTTATTGATAAATTAGTTTGCCCCTTTGTCATCTAATTAGAAAAATATAGCTGTATATATGACATATGTATATGCACTCATATACGACCTCGGTAATTTTAGTGTTAACCGCACCCTAATATCGTCTATCTTAATTCAAATTGTCGTCGATAGAAAAAACAAGTGATATTTTCAAATGTTAATACACCTATCCCACGATTACATCTCAAACCTTGTCTTACTCCCTATCATTTGTTAAAATATTTAAGTAACCAAATACGTACATCATCCTCATCCTCAACGATACTTTCCACCTCTTAAACATTCATTTCAGCCAAAAAGATACAACACTTCTTTACAAGACTTTTCGAGGAGTCATCGCTCCACTCCACCAGGTACATTGTAATTTTTATGCGATACTTTCCAACCCAAATTAGCTTCGTATTTCAGAAAATATATGGTATATCGTCCCCATATATAATAATTTCCCCCCTTCGACACGAACAATTCTTAAATATTCGACACAGCTATTGGAAAGTCGTTCGTATTCCAGAACGGGGCAGTAAATTTCAAATTAAAACGAAATTTAGAGGTATAGCATTAATAACAAAATGCAGGTCAAAGATGTGTACCGTGTAATTATGCGACATAATATCCCATATTTCGAGCAAACTCCAAGATTCACTGTGTCCGCGAGGTTTAAGATCTCGACCGTGCTCGACCGTACCTTGCGAAGTAAAGCTCCGCGGCAAGATTGCAATCTCAGCTGTCGGTGATAAAAATTTATGCTAACTACAAAGCGGTAGCGATACGCATCTCTCAGAGGACTAGGGAAACCTGGGCGAGTGTGCAAGAGGGAGAAACCAGTGCTTCCCAACAGGTGTCACCGCAAAACAATAGGTAATTAACGAATGGAAACGCTTTGTTTTTTCGATTGTACTATAGAGAGTATTCTTGTGTCACTTGCTATCATCTACTTCTGTGAATAAGTATTATCAATTAATGGTACGTGTAAGATTTAAATAGCAAGCTTTCTGAACACTTTTAAGGATTTTGGAGTATTTGTACGAATTGTAGAATGGATTTTTTTTTTGAAGCTTTAGTATGATTCAAACTACTGTAAAATTATTATGCAATTGAATGTACAAAAGTGAGACAGAGTAAAGTCAATTTATTTAAGAGAAATTCTATTTTCGAATATTTTGTTTACTAATGATTCTACGTTTCGACACTACGTTAAGTTCTTTTCCGAAATAAACATAAAATGTACGATTCATGGTTAATGTAAGATGAACCTTAAATATTCAGGAAAAGAATAAGAATAAGTATCAAGGTTAGATATAAGTTTGCTATTTTACTGATACTATTTTTAAAAATATATATTTTAAATATATATATATATATATATATATATATCTTAATATTGCTACTGAATACTTTTCTCTTCAGAATTATGTTGTCTCTATCGACACGGCTAAAGATTGAGTATCGTCAATTTCAAATATTCGTAACTTGAAATCAAATGTATGAAATACCAAAATTCGAACACAAACTTTACAGATAAAAGTCTCTGTTTACATCTTATGCAGAGAAAGCTCGCATAAATATTAATTAATGTTTCATTCGCAAAACGAGTTCATTTAAGGAAATATGTTTGTAATTCCACTATCTACGTGCCGTGACATAATAGAGTTGAGAAACACGGGAGGAGACGTATCCAGCGAGATCTTCGCCGCCGGAAATTGAGTCGCGGCGTGTTTTATCGAAAGCTTTCAAAAACCGACTTCGGGAGCGCAATTTACATTTAAAGGAGATGTGTAAAATGCTGGGCGAGGCCCCAGTTAACGATGTCGTTCGACTTACTTGTAAGATCCGTGAATGTTCGTGCAGGAGCCGTATTTGCACGGGTCCCTGTCGCATTCGTTGATGTCGTCCGCGCAATTCGGCCCCGTAAAACCTGGTGCGCACGTGCACTTGTAGCTGTCCTCCAGCGACCGACACTCGGCCCCGTTTCTACATGGCGACGAGGCGCAGTGGTCTTGTCGCTCGCAGTGCTCGCCTGAAATACAAAAAGAACAAGATTTAAGGCGGCATTCTATTGTAGTATGAAACATCAATTCTTAGCTATTTTTGGGGACTTTTCTCACTTTAAATCCATAAAACATTGCTTACGGGATACGCAATTATGCATATAGGTATATTTAACGTATAGTCGATTGAGTGAGCAGTATTTTGTAAGTTTGCAGAAAGAGGTGAACTGTGAATTTTGCTATAACCTTCGTATTTATCAATGTTTTGTGATACAATAATATATAATATAATTTCTCTTCGCGAATATTCGAATATTTGTTTATATTTACAGTATCCAAAATGGCAGAAAGTATAAATTGTCACGGAGATAGAATAAATCATGATTAAAAATGTAACAATAGTAATATGTAATTTTTATATGATCCTTTCCAGAAAAAAATCTTTCATTTTTGTTTTATGATAATTATTACTGTCTAACAAATTTGTTGAGAAATTGATTATTCTATAGACCTGTTTTATTTTTTAATTTAAAAGGCCTCGTGTTTATTATCCCGAGGTGATAAATGCGTACGACTATATTGCGATACATTTTATTTTCACTATCTACAGTTTCTTCATAATAATTCAGATATATCTGTAATTGTCCATTTTTATCATTTCCTGTAGGTTCCAAAATATTCGAAACATCTTCAAATTTATGAACAAACAAATGATTAATAAATTTACTAAAACATTTCTCAAACATAGAGATCCATCATACACTCACGAAATTGTCGCAATTTCTATCGGAGTACAAACGTAGCTGTTTACTGCGAATCGAGGAGTATACATCCCCTTAATTGCTGTTAACGAGCGTCTTGCCGGGGATGGATACGTGACTGGCTCGAGTGTTTCGCGATCTTTACGATCCTCTTCGATAAAGATCACTGGGAAGACAAGGATGAATCTGCTTGGTATTTCGTGCTCGGTTGTGCCCCTCGCAAGGGGAGATATCGTTCAAGATGGCGGAAACACTGACCGAGCCGTTCTGTCTACTTAAACTCCCATCCCTCCCTTCCCCTGGGTCACTGATTAGTGGAACTAATTACCCGGAGTCGCTGCTCGCTCCCTTGGATCTAAGATGTCTTTGCTCCTCGATCTGCACGGTGCACCCGCTACGCACCAGTGGTGCTTGCATCTCGGAGTACATGTATAATGTAATAATTACCATCCCGTGAATATCACTAGGATCAATGCGAGATGAATGTGTCTATAATTTAATTTGATAACGACAACTTGGACCTTCTACACAAGCTTACCTACACAAGCTCTTCACCTAAATACCTATAGTATTAACATTTAATGATTAAAATACGTAGAAGAGAACATTTTATTTGAATCGGAGACATAAACACAAAGTTGAACTAATCGAATTAACTAACTGCTTTCTACAAAGGAGATCGGTAAATCATTTCATCGACTGAAATGCATCGTACAAGGAGATGACCACGCTACGGCTGCAAAGTGTATTTCTTGAGCAACCGTACAGGTTGTCTTCGAATAAAATTTATTTTGATTTGCGAAATGGCCTGATACTAGTTTCAGGGTCAGTGAAACATAAGATGCGAATATGAGAACCACTGGAACAAAGGTACCGCCACAGCGAAATGCTCTCCGCATTGCTTCTCCGCCAATTATCCAGCACCACAAACACCTCTCTCGCTCCGCCGACCCTTTCCTTCTTCCTCTTCCTTTGCCACTAAATTCCTGTTGCCCTCAGATTTATTTGTCAAGGGAGCACGTGGCCCCGCGCAAACACGATCCATAAAAAATGCTCGTTTAGAGCGCCTGACAACTTCCGCGAGTCAAGCGAATTCACGAGTCTAGCCAGTTTTCCTGTACTCGACTATCCAAGTATTCGAGCACTTCGAGGAACCAAATATTAGATAAACGTATCAGGTGAATACTTTTTGTATATCGACCGATTAGAATATCATTCGAATTAACTTGTTCATGTAACACTAGAAGACACCTTTTGAAATTTCTATTTAAATTTTTCTTCCAAGCTTCATTGGTATAAGTTTAATTGAATTAAAAAGAACACTGACTGTCTCTTGATAATTCTAATAATCTAATATTTGAATAATAATAGAGTAATAAATTATATTTGAATTGTAATAGTCAAATATATAAACTAATTTATTCGAACAGTCTCAGATCTAGATGCTGAAATATCAATTTAATCGATAGATTTGTAATCGACGTTCCAGCAATTTAGCGCCACTGTTTACTCGACTCTCTATGTTTTGAGCGGTCTCGATGACGGTGAATCACGCGAACGCTGCCAGCCGTGGATCCAGGCTCTGTACTCTATTCGCATCATCGTAGCCCGCTAATGAGCGAAACAATACGAATACCGAGATTATCGCGTAACCTTGCTGCCCCATCTACATGAATCGATGGGATTTGTCGCTCCGATGAATAACGCGCGTTATTCATTCGCGGATTATAATATATCGCGTGCACGAACTCGCGTCGGCCTTTCATTTATTTAATTGCGGTTATCCTGACGGTACTATGGATTCTGTAGAAGCTCTTGGATGATATAATCAAATGCTAGAAGCTCGACTGCTACCAACGAGCGTAAATTGATACCTAACTGTTTTGCACCTGTGGGAAATCTTCCTTAGAAACGAAGGAATCGTACTAGTTTTACACAAGAAAGCTTTATTACAACTTCAGGAAATCGTAACTCTTTTATACGACTAATTTCGTAAAAATAATTGTCATACGTATAGCTATTTTGAAAATGGCACAAATCCAAAAGAAAATTATACCTATGTAAAGTTAAACAGTATACTTATTGAAATAACGATTAAATTTTTCTTTATTCTGTATAGCGTGGCAGTGTATTACTAATTTTTGTTAAATAAAACTTAATTTCAATAACTATAGCACCTGTGTCTAAGCTATAAAAATTACGTTCACAAAGAGTCACACCTTGCAAACATTGGCATCGAATGAGGGGCAAAAATGAATGTATGAAACACTACAAATGGTTCGATATTAAAGTAGACAAAAATAAAACTTGCTAAATATTCCACATTTTTCCAGGCGTCAGGTGATTCGAACCATAAGCGGCCATAAAATTTCGCAGAAATATCGCGCCGGATCGACGCGGTGGCTCGTTTAATTATGCATACGACTTTTTCTTCATCGGTAAGTTCTGTCGCTTTATTACTCAATCGAATCTCGGAGTGTCTTCATCGAGGGAACGCGTGGAAATGTGTTTTTTGGGTGACGGCAATTTTAATCTTGCCACCAGACATCGTGCGACGAAGTGGTTTAAGGTGTGTCTAATTATTGACATCCTTACCTGTGTACCCGGTGGCGCAGGTGCAAACGTACTCGTGCAACGACTTCAGATTGCAAGTGGCTCCGTTCAAACACGGCGATGAGTCGCATGCGTTCTCGATCGGTATCTCGCAGAGACTCGCGGTAAATCCGACGGGGCAGGAACAGGTGAACGACGGTGTTCCACCCCCGATGCTCTCCTTCACCCTGCAGGAGCCGCCATTTTGGCAACGTGGACCCGTGTGGCAAGGGTTCAGGTGCTGACAGTACTCGCCCACGTACTTCGACGTGCAACTGGAACAGAAGGAAATCATTATTAGCATCGATGCAAAGTGTACAGAATGGATTTTGAATTTATGGTTCTTTGTGGATCGATTCAAACTTTAATTTAACGCGAGTGGTGATGCGAAGTTGATAAGGAGTGCGTTACTCTTGCTCTTATGCATTCGAGATTGGTGGTGATATCTATGTTTGCGACATTCTGATCAAAGCGTGACGAAATAAACGCTAAGACTTGATATTAACATTATGATAATGTGATATTGAAATAAATAAATCTAAGTCAATCTTAATTATACAACGAACAAAAAATTAAAATGTTGCACTATACGATGTAAAATGAATAATTATGAACACCTTTATAGACACCCCGATCATTTATTTAAACTAAATTAAGGTGTATACGGACCCAAGGAATATTAATATAAAGAAATGTGAAATAATGGAGCAAATCCATGCGGGAGCATTGTTTATTGTGTATTCCGAATATAAACATGCTTGAATGTTCCTTAACATTTTAACACTCTCTTCGTGTTTCTTGTATCTTTGAATAATTTTCATATTTTACAGATGATTGAATTATCCCGTAGTCAGATTAATGATTCGTCACGGAACACTTCCAAAAGTTATTTTTAAATTCTACTGGATTTGAGAGGCAATTTATATTCCTCGAATCTCCGCAGGAATCACATAAAAATAATCTTACGGGACAGGTTCAAGAGGTCCACAGGAACCTCGAATATTCGAACACGCGGAGGTATCTCTGAATCGGTTAAATTCTGTTCCACGTTTTCGTGTCGCAAGCTAGAGAAGCCGAGAGAGCAAAATTCTGCACACGAGCTGACATCAGTTTAGACAAGCAGCTACGAAAAAATGACCGAATATAGCGTTTTCCAAACCTGTTTAGTCGCAAAACCGTAGTCGTAATTTTTCTTTCTATGTACACACATTTATGGAATATCTTCGTTCTTCCATGGCTAATCGGTTTTTTAACGAAAAATGTACAAGCAATGCTCAGAATCATTTTATTTTAATGCGTGCTACGTTAAACTATAACTGTTAATTGCTATTAATTTTCTCTCGAAGTCCGTTATTTCCTCTCCTTACTCGACTAACTAAACTAACTACTTCCATATTCTACATCTTTTGCAAATAATTTTTAGAAAAGTATTTATTACCACCAAGGAGAGGCGAAACAACAAGGAAAATAACGCACATCAATAACGATATATCAGCCATTTGCAAACATTTTTCAACAAATCAAGCAATGAAATTTCTCTGAAAACACGCACTTATAAAATCCCGAAATCCGGATTCCATAAATCCGATGGTATTCTCAAGAAAAAGATACCAAACACCGTTCTGTTTTCGACCCTCCTAGGTGTATATGCCCCCATAAGGATACTCGTTTTCTCGTTTCTTCCGCGGCTCGACCGCTTCCCAGGCAACAGAGGGTGATCGATCAGGGACTACAATTCCACTCGAACCGCCATTAGGGCCCGTTAGAAAGTATCTTTCCTTCATAAAAGCCCAGCAGGACCGTAGGACGTTGGAACAGTCAGTGACCCCCTGGAAATCTTCTTCCACCATTCTGTGGTTTCCTTCAAATTGGCCCCCGCGACTTGTACAGATTTTATAGGACGCTCGCCAACAGTAAGCTTTGCACGGACGGAAGCGAGCGATTAGGCGAAACAATAAAAGAGAGGTTTAATTAGAGCCCCGCGAGAGCGGAGTTCGAGGTGTGCAATTCATAAGGGCAAAGTGTTTCTACAAATGGAAGTTTCTGAACTTGTGTGACGTTCGGCGGCTCGTCGGAAACAATGTTCCGAAATTCATCTCGGCACAGCCGAAATCGTGTAAGGCAAGTTTTTAGATATAATGACACATGTCGGCGGACCTGACCGCAGAGGATCGCGATCTTCCGCTTTCTGGATCCTTCGTGGAAGTCTCGACCGCAACGGAACGAGCGTTCCAGTTCCAGAGAGGAGAGCTGGATCCCCAAAACAACGTCCCACGGGACGCTGGTGTTGGTTTTTCGAAATAAAAACTGAAGTCGTTCGCGGTCAAAGCGTAAAATTTATTAGGACGTTTTCGACCTCTTTTATTTTAACCCACAGAGATAAAAAATATTTCTCGAAAAATTCTATAAGGGACCTCACGAGCATCCGTTTCAGCAATTATGCGAGTCTCTATCTCAATCGTTATATTTATTCTCGTAAAAAACCAAAAGCATGTCAAGAAGGAATATTTCTTTAAGACGTTGGCGTAGGTTCTAAAGAAAATTATGGAACAAAAGAAATACGACGTACTCATCATGACTTTTTCTGAAGAGTTTAAAACCACCATGCGTCCACATTTTATGAAGAAATATAAAACTAAAGGACCAGCATCCACCCTCTCTCTTCTATTAAACACATTCGCGACGCTGGCTGACGTGAATTCACGTCACTTAAAATTCTATTCCTGGTTATGAAAAAATGATTAAAATCTTTTTATTGTATACACTACATATCTACAACATTGATATTTCAAAACAAATTTCGTAATTTTTATCTTCGTCCCAACGATACAAATTTGCGATGTCCAGCTTTAGAAATTGATCATTTTCGTCAGTGTTCGGTATTAGAAACGTAAAATATCTGCCGTCTCGCGAATCTGTTAACCATACTGTAGTATAGATTTCTGTCTTTGAAAGTAAATGGACATTCTCCCCCCCCCCCCCCCCAACTGTAAACATTCTTCTTGGACGTGTGCTCTGGAAGTTGATCCCAAGAATTGAATATTCCCGCGGTATTTACAAGCGACACTCGACAAATTGTACCCGCCCGCTAAGTGGAACGACTCGTTCACCTCGGCTTTAGAATGCGACGGAATTAGAGTTTCTTGCGCGACACGGAATTCATGTACAATCAAGCTGAACAAGTTGTAAGTTATTCAAACCAGGTAAAATATGCTAGAGCTGAGATGATTCACGAAGAATCTGCATATCAAGATCAACGAAGTTTTTGTGTTAAGTGTCTCTTTTTATTGTTATAATTGTTAGAATGTCCCAACTATCGATCGCGAGATTGCCAAGTTCTCTTAGGCAACCAATTCTGTTCAACCATTAAGCACCAAATTATTCACTCTTTTGAAGCGATATCTGTTTTCTGTACATTGCACTTGAAAATACCACTACTGCTATGCAACAATGCAACTTTCATCACAATTTTTTGGAACAATTATCGTAACAGAGAATTAATTTAATCGATAAATTAGTGTGATCACCTTTCTTTGCACTCGAGGCCTTTTTTTCTGGTATCTACCAGCAACTCGAGATGTTTCTTAGCATTCTATCGCCATGAATTCTAAGCTATCTAGATTTGAGAATAAAGTCACCTTTACCTCGCCGACAATCATTTTATCGACACTTCGAGCTCCAAAGAAATTAAACCTAAAAAATTAACAGATTTCACGCTCGTCGTAAGAATCGTGAGATTGAAAATCAAACTCAGTGAAAAGCTTTTCTTCGTTAACATCCCTCGCATTTTCCAGTATCTCATATCTATCCATTTGTCTCTATCTCTATCCATTTTTCATCGTATGTCACAAACGTTACATTTCCCCGTTAGCACCCACCTTGTTTCGAAAATAAAATGATTTTCAATCATAAAAAAACATTAGTTACAATACAAAGGGTTAATTACACTCTTATTGTACCTATTTAGCTCTATATACTTTGACCAATTACCGTAGAAGGCACCACGTGAAAACTATCGCTTTAATTATATCGCGAAACTCCATTCCCGCTACTTATCTTCTTCTATTCGAGTCGAGCAACGGAACTCTACATAAAATCAGGTTTCCCCGAGTTCGCGGTACGAATAAAAATCCGCGGGCAAAAGACGTTAAACGCCATCGGCGTCCATTGTCGAGGGGCACAGCTGGTTTCGAGTTGGTTCGCGCAGCTTCACCGCGGCTTCTTCTGCTCGCGGATATCGCTTATGCGAGTGCTTAGAAAGCTGCAGCCGGTATCTCTATAAACGGAAGCGACGATTCCACGGCCATTATTTGCCGGCAGCGGGTTTCTTCTGGACTACCGCTACCATCGCCAACTCGAGGACCGCGTTGAGCACCATCGGTTGGATTTATTGACTTCTACCCGTGAATATTCCCTTCTAAGCACCGCAGGGACGTAACGAATTCAACGTGGTGCCACGCGTACAAACGTTACGTGCGTTTACCTCCTATAGAATGTATTACTTTACCGAAGGTATCCGCTCTTTATGAAACACCGCTCGAGCGTATATACATTACATATGTCCTCTAACGGTTCGAGTCGTTTCTGTCTCCTTTAAGAATAAAGAGCTTGAGGTGGCTCGTACGGGAGGATTTTTGTTTGTTTTGATATTTAGTACGGTTTTTAGCAGGTACTTCTTCTGTGTTTGAGTATAAATATTGAGGCTAGTCGGAGAAGGTATAACTGGAAGTATAACTGTCTTGTATGCGTTCTTTAACGCTAAAACTACCAAGATTCAATCTATACCTTTTGTATACATTAATATATTTCTGAAAATAAAGAGTGGAAGGGCATATTAAACGGTAGATCGTAAGCAAGTTTGAACATACGCGCTGGTAGCGACATCGCATCGATGCATCGCGAGAATCGCGGTCCTTCCTGGCAGCTGGCGCGTAATTGAACAACCATATTTAGCATTCGGTAGTGAATAGTCGCGAGATCAGTATGTGAAACACATTCGGTTGTGGATACAAATATACTTATATGTTCAGATTATTCATTAGTGAATTCAGTTTTGTTCAGTTCTCATCCTTTTAATTACTCTCTGTGTTTGTTCGTCCACAAAAATATTCCTAACAAGATGTGTATACAGTTCTTTATTCCAATAATTCTCATCAGAAACTGCAAAGTACATGGATTTATTACGATATATCGATACGATACAATGATCGTTGTTTTTCCTTCTTTGAAATTAATCAAGTATCAACGTGAATTTCTATTTTAATTGTAATCCTTC